CCCCTCCTCCGGGGCCCGCAGAGCGCACGTCCCGCCCGAGCGCCCCCCAAGGGTTAATAAACAGCATAAATATGAACAACAAACAGAACAATGTGTTTATATCGGGAACGCTGCTGGGATCCGGGGGGATCCAGGGGACTCCGGAATCTCCATTTAAAGGGGAATGCCGGCCTGGAATGGTTACTTCTGCTGAACGTGAGGAGAGAGGGAGGTGTTCTGGAGTCCGGTCCTAGGGTGACAACGCTGCTCCTCCATACATAGAGTGCAGCGAGTGAGCGTTATCACCCTAGGACAGGAAGTGTGTGTTACTGGCAGGATCATCAGGTGACAAGGAAAGAGCCTGAGAAAAGAAAACTAATGCAGCCACCACATCCAGCCATGAAGGGGAGGGACGGGGGTCAGAGATGAGGCTGAAGGGGAGGACGGAGGTCAGAGATGAGGCTGAAGGGGAGGACGGAGGTCAGATAGAAGACTGAAGGGGAGGACGGAGGTCAGATAGAAGACTGAAGGGAAGGACGGAGGTCAGATAGGAGACTGAAGGGAAGGACGGAGGTCAGATAGAAGACTGAAGGGAAGGACGGAGGTCAGATAGGAGACTGAAGGGGAGGACGGAGGTCAGATAGGAGACTGAAGGGGAGGACGGAGGTCAGATAGAAGACTGAAGGGGAGGACGGAGGTCAGATAGAAGACTGAAGGGAAGGACGGAGGTCAGATAGAAGACTGAAGGGAAGGACAGAGGTCAGATAGAAGACTGAAGGGAAGGACGGAGGTCAGATAGAAGACTGAAGGGAAGGACGGAGGTCAGATAGAAGACTGAAGGGGAGGACGGAGGTCAGATAGAAGACTGAAGGGGAGGCTGGGTACCCCTATAGGTGGGAATTCTCTGATGGGAGGACGATGACTGGGGCAGATAAGTGGGAACACGTGTGTGCGAGCGGATTACACATCCCAGTTGCGGGCTCTTTGATCTCTCCTCCACCGCTGGGCACGCATCGTATTGCTTCATATCAGGATGATGGAAAATCAGGTCATGTGATCAGAAGTTCTTGGAAGCGACACGTTCCCTGCCACGTACAGGAGAGATCGGTGGGCGGGGGGTGGGGCGACTTCGGCTGATTCTCATTATGTCATTATGTATAAAGAAGAAGATCGGAGGATGAACCATCAGCTGCCGGTGTCCCCATAGAGTGGACTTCTCTCCATTTCCTGTTGTCACCTCTCACCTGAACAGGAAGTGAGGGATATCAGCAGTGCCCGGCCACAGGAAGAGGGGCGTGTCCAGCCTTGAGATCTTTAACCCTTTGTTAGGACAGTTTACACCTGATAATGAGATCGGCCGGCACAGTACAGACGGGGTTAATTATGGCAAACATGAACTCCCCAACCCCCCACCATCAGGGGGAAACCATCATTTGTGATGGTTTAATGGGAGGAGATCTCACCCAATAGGAGGCCAGCGCTGACCCCCAGTTTATGTGGGGGTGGGGGAGGGGGTTGCGACGGCGGTCACACGTTATACTTTATATAACAATCAGATGGAGGCGATCCCGGCGCGCGCTCCCTATGACATCATTCGGCGATGACTCCATCCAGACGGAACTTGGAGGCCGGCGCAGAGGAGGTCACACACACTCACCAGAGAGAACGTGTTCCGAGCAGAAACCCAAATCCAGGGAAACCTCCGCCAAGTCTTCTGTAAAC